ATGACTTTGCCTTTCTTGACTCAATACTTAAACCACCTAAATCACTCAGTCTGTCATCTGCCATGGTGGAACTGAGGTAAGTTTTCACCAGCTTCAGAGTTTTAAAAAAAATCGTTCACAAGAAGCAGTACTAACTAGAATTGATACTGCTATTTTGCACAGTTTGAAGAGCTAAAAAAAAAACAAAAAACTTCTTTGTAAGGCTCAATGAGCAATGTTAGCTCTACAATATTAGAGGTTCTCTGCATACCATCATGTATTTTTCTGTGTAAAATGTGTCTGAACTGATGTAGTTCATGCCCCAAATCCTCAATGTTTGAATCATATACATTCCAGCAAATGCAAACAGAGCCTCCTCTTGGAGAAATGCATCACTGTTGGGGTTTAGTGTTTGGATGCTATTCATAATGGTACAATTTCTGCTCGAGAACCGTCTGTTAAGGTCATTGAGCAGCTGATCTAAGACTGGGTAGAAAAAGGCTGTTTGAAAATGTCCTTGTCATAGGGCTGACTCTAACCCTGTCTGATCCACAGTAGTGAGGACACAGTACCCACTAAGTTGAGAGCTTTTTGACGTTTTGCTGCTGGCTGCACTGCAGTAGCACATTGCTCAGCAGTGTTGAGCACCTCACCCCACAGGTTTTAAAAAAGTGATTCACCCCTGTAGTCATTCAAAGTTTGAATTAAGGCCTGAACTAAATCAACTTCCTTTGAGAAGTCAAGGGACGGAGACTGCAGCATATCCGACAGAAGCTTTGTTTCTCCAAAAACTTTGCAGAATGTAACAAGATAGACAATGAATTGTAAGTCCAGCTGTGCAAGAAGACCTCGTGCCTCAACAGATCTGTCACCACTGGATTCTTGGTCTCCCTCTTGCAGGACTTGCTCAATGGCAGGCAATCTACCCCTGATATTACGAAGAGCCAAATACCGACATGCTCAGCGAGTGTCACTGAGTTTCTGAAGCTCTTGAGGTGCACCTTCATACATCTCTTTTTGTACATTAAGACATTTTTGATGCACTTATGATCCACATGTGAACACATACAGTCTTTCTAGTAAAGAGAAAAACTGCTCTGCTTCAGGAACAGCTTGTGTCTACTAAAACTAAATTAAGACAATGTGCACTGCAGTGGACATAAAAAGCATACTTTGCTTGCTTTTTAATGCGTGCCTGGACGCCTGAACGCTTGCCACTCATGACAGAAGCACCGTCATAAGCTTAACCCACAAGGTTGTCTCTGTGCTGAAGACCATGACTTTCTAATATATGTGTAAATTTGTCAGTTAGCCCTGCTGCATCTAATCGATCAGATGATTCAAAGTGGAGGAAACTCTCGTGGACAGCTCCACTGAAATGGTACCGCAGGACCAGAGACATTTGCTCTTTCTTCTTCACATCTTTTGTTTCATCAGCCAAAATGCCAAAGACCTCACTGTCCTTAACCGCTCATAACTTCTGGTNGATCCTAAACATTCATCTAACAAGCTGCTGTATGAATAAACTATAAACTAAATATTGCACATTATAAACAGCAGACAATATACAGTGTGTTGTATACTAATTAAGGAATTATCGAACAAATATCTGAAAATATTACTAACAGCTTCCATCAAGAATCAATAATCAGTTAGCTTAGCTAACTAAATTGACATTTAGTTAGCTAAGCTAGCGAGTTAACCTAGCTTACTTAGGATGACAAAGTCCTCTTCAAAGTCTTTTAGCCAAAGTCCTAGGCAATTATATCCCATATGAAATATCTTTGTATTAGCTAAACATTATCACCATGTAACAGCATTACTCAACTTATACGGTTTGTTGGGAAAAAAACTGTCCAGAGTTTTCTGCTTCTTGGTTTGTTTAGCGGACATGTTTAAAGCAAAACGTCTTTCTCACCAAACACTGCAGCTGTGTTCGTTTGCGCCGCCGTTTAGCACAGTCTACTAATGACGCGTTTAAAGGCGGCTCGGAAAAACGTGTTTCCACATGTTAAAAATGAATTAAGTCGTTGTAATGGCTGTAAAAAAAAGTGGGGAGGGCGGAGGGCACAGATACGGGAAGTGCGGGGGACATGCCCCCCGTATACCCCGCGTCCGCTACGCCCATGTCAGTAAGTCATATGTTTTTTCCTGTGACAAGGTGAGAAGTGCAAACAAATAAGAAAGTTGGTCACACCGGTAAGAAAAAGTTAGTCTGGAGTCCTGTGTGAACAGACTGAACTCACGGGGACATCATCGTGAAAATATGCGACGCTGCGAACCACCGTCCTCGAGAAAAATATATATATACTTGAGCTGTGCTGTTGTATCTTTACTGCACGGGAATTTTAAGACAGTTAAACGCTAACTTCTCTGTTTTTCACGGTCTGTTCTGAAGCCCTGGCGTTGCTTCCGGTGCTGTGACGTCCTCATTTAACATGTTGAGGAAGTAAATCCACCGTGTTTAACTTCTCATATTAAACACGAGAACAAACATCAGTAAAGAAACTTCAACATGCTTGCTTCAATAAATCGGTTCAAACTCCGTCAGACTTCACAGTTTCACCTGAAAACACGTTTCATGCTGACGCCGTCCTGTTCTGTCGGACTCTACTGATGTGACCCTGCAGGAGCGAGTCTACGGAAATAAACTCTATCATTTAAAAATATTCACCTTTACCTTCACAGTTGATTAATCCAACTACCGTCAGGAACCACAGCAGATCGACCGGTTCCATCGTTTCTGTCGGATCATT